AGTCGAAGTCTGTCATCTAGACTTCAGTAAGGCTTTTGACTCCGCAAACCATCGGCTGCTGCTAGGCAAGCTAGGATCAATAAGGATCCACCCTAGTTTAGTCAAGTGGACTGAGAGCTGCCTATTTAGAAAGCGGACCGCGTGGCAGCTACTCTGTGCCACAGGCGGCTATCTTAGACACATTCAGTACTTACGTGAGCGAAAGTCTTTCGACCGCATTCTCCTGGATGCCGAAAGAGCTTCCGAGCTTTCCCCGGCCAAGAAGGCAAAGCGCCAACATAAGACCTACTACGGGTATGTTCAGTCTAGGTCCACTACAAGGAAAGTAGTGGACTGTATCAGGCAGAAGGACAACACCCCTGCCACGACAAACTCCCAGAAGGCCATCATCTTGTGTGAGCACTTCCAGAGCGTACACACGAAGGATGAGGGCATCCTGCAACCCATGCAGCAGCCAGCAGGATCCACGCTGATGGAGGAAATCATTTTCCTACCGGAGGAGGTGGAAAAGACCCTGGTGAGTTCAGATAGGAGAAAAGCGGCGGGACCGGACGAAATCCACCCGGCACTGCTTGGGCCTCTAGGGAGTATCCTGGCAGCCCCGTTAGCTCGCCTCTTCAATCTATCCATGGCGACAGCCACATTGCCNACAGCCACGTTGCCACAGGACTGGAAAGTAGCTACTGTGGCCCCCATCCACAAAGGGGGTGACAGGGAGCTAGCCACTAACTATAGGCCCGTTAGCTTATTATCCGTGGTCCTAAAGGTCATGGAAAGACCAATCAGGGATAAGATGGCCAGGTACCTCACCCAATACGACCTGCTCGCGAAGCCTCAGCACGGGTTTCGTCAAGGCCGTTCGTGCCTCACAATCCGATTCCGTTCTCATCCGACTCAAATGGCTCAACTCCGTGGCACATGCTAACCAGGTAGCAGTGCCACTTTCTCAACCAATTTCATATCAGTACACGGATCCAGCTTCGAAGCTGCATCTGTGGAACACAACCTAATTTGGTACATACTTTTATCAGTATTGTGACCCGTCT